GGGGCTACTACCCCCGCTTCTCGCCCTTCTTTTTCCTGTGCACCCACCACGGGGAGCTGGAAGGGGATGGGGAGCAAGGCGAGGTGCTCATTTCCCTGCACATTGCGGGCAACCCCACCTACTACGTACCGGGACAAGAATACCATGGTAGGTACCAAGGCATCTCCGCGCTCGCCACCTGAGCCGGTGCGCCCGCGGCGCAGCGTTTTCCTCTCCTTTTCCCAAGGGGCCATTGAAGCGAGAACCAACCCTTCCCTCAACATTGCGTCCTGCGGAGGGACACGGAACAAAGTTAGTGAGAATCGAGTCGGGGTTTACTGAGCCCCCTGCACACCCATCACGCTCTCCTCACGCATCCTTCTCATCGTAATGGGCAGGCAGTGGTAAGAGATGCCTGAGAATTCTCGGGGTCGGGTCTTGCCCCCCTCACTCCTAGTTCATGCAGCTGACACTTTGAATGAACCCGCGCACCTTGTTTCCTTAACCCCAGTGCTTGGGCTCCAGACCTTTGTCTTGCTCCCGGTTCCCCCCTGAAGGGTCCGCGGCTGACGCTGGGCTGGCACTGGGCTTGCCGGATGGTCTGGTGGCAGATTGACGCGCCCCGGTCTTCGGCCGCCCCGCGCGGTCGCCAGCCCGCGGCAAAGTTCCCGCTGCTCACCGGCCAGGGGTCCCTCTATTTTATTCACTATCCAGCTGCCCCCCTGAAGGGTGGCGGCTGCCCCCAGCTCTCTCTTCTTTTAAAAGTGTTAAAATGTCAGTAATGATGCTTTTCCTCATTCCTCCGTTACTTTAAACGCGCTGTTTATTCTTAGAGTGATCTCTGTGATGTTTATTAATGACGTTGTCTTCTATTTGTGCAGCTTTAATCTCCAGGTAGGGGCTGGGAGGCCCTTATAATTTAAAAGTACCTTATAAAAAAGGATCATTATAGAGTCCTTCAGCAAAATTAAATATTATTGAAGAAGTAAAATTTACCTCCAACAAATACAGTTTTATGTGGTGCATGTATTTTTAATATTTTAGACTAGTAAACCCAGTTTGTGGGAAAATAAAAAGGTATTGTCTATTTTTTCTGTATTTCTGCGGGAAATTCTTAATATTTCACTTCCATGGAACTTTCAAGCCACGACAGGCATTATTTAATAAGAATTCCAAAGCAAAAAATTCTTAAACCTAACCAAATAGAAACTATTGTCTAGTAATCTCATAGTTTTGATCTCTTGTAGGCTAACAATTATTTACATAGCAGGAGATAATCCATGGACCAGCTGGCATTTCAGATAACCATGCATATAAAAATGAAGAATCCTTAAGTTTTCAATTGAAAAATATACACCTTTATGTCTACTTTAAAATGTTAAGCCTAAATAAATGCTTTCTAGAGATTTAAATGAGTGCTTTTACAACTTTCCTGTGGCATGGTGGCAGCCTTGTCTGTAAAGCAGTTTAATTGGGTGGAATTTTAGACTTTGGAAAATTAATTTTCTATAACTAGTCTCTCCTTGAATCAAAGGGCTTACCACATCCTCTTCCCAAGAGCATTCTGGTGTTTTTCTGGGGTCTGTAAGTGGAAAGCCCAGCCAATATGGCAACGCCGATCCAACCCAAAGACTGAGCCAGTCACTCTGGGTAGCCCTTAGGAAGGGTGCTTGCCTATTAGTAGCTGTAAGTGAGAGTGGCAAGTAAGTGAGACAAGGCTGAGCTAAAAGGTATGATTGTCAGATCGTGATGGAAGACCAGGTGATACTACAAAGCCCGTTTTCCACATCCTTTTAAAGGTGTCAGCATAGAAAACTTAAAAATTCCAAAATATGATATAGCATCTGCTTTTGCGATAAATCTAGGAAATATAAGTCACCCTAAGACTAAAAATAATCACATCCCTAAATCTGAAAAGGAATGGATGATATAAAGTAAGAATAGAGTGTAATACTTCAAGTTGGACATTGGGGGGAAAGTCTTGATGTATACCTCTTTTCCACTACCAGAAAAGGCAGAGAAATTTTATTATGGAAGGCTAAGAAGATCAAATTATGATAAGGTTTGACAATAGTTAATGTCAGATATGAAATTTCTGTTACCTCTTCTATCAACATTTATATATATTGAAACTGGCTGTAACTATAGACCTTCAGAAAGAGTTTTCCCCTATAAAATGTTCTACAGGTAGAAGAAATGTTTAAAAATGAAACAGTGCTCACATGCGTCTCTTTTTCTCTTAGACTTTTAAAAATTAATATTAAAAATTAATTATATAGTATCTTTTAATAATTGAGCTGCTGAAAACTTTACCTAATATACTTTGTGGTTGACTCCTTTTATATGAGAATAAAATAGGTCATTCGACCAAAAAATTTTAAAGCTGAGACATCAGTAAAACATTAGTTTCAGACTTTATTTCTAACCTTCCAAATCTTTAAAACATAGCAGTCTATCAGAAAAAAAACACCATTCTTACCTACGATTAACATTGAACTCAGCATTTGAAGGAATCATGTTTGGATGCAGCTGATGGTTGTCTGTCTCTTTTTTGCTTAAATGAATGCATTGAGATAGAGAGAGGTGGTATGTAGAACAGCACCTTTCCCAGAACATTACTGTAAATGAGACTATGCCAGCTGCCTTCTGACCCTTGTGCTGTGTGACAGAGCTTGGAATGTGAGATGGACAGGCACATGTCAGTCTGGTATAAGAGTGGTTCAAAATTATGGCTCTCTGTATGTGTCACACTTATTAGAGATTTATATTGAAAATCAATTTTGGAGAAAAAAACAGAACCAAGAATATAATACTGAAGAATTTGAAGCTTGTGTGTCTCACAGAATTGTTACATATTTCCAACGTTCAGTAGTATATCCACCTTTTTGCAGTTTTGGCAGCTCTGTAAACAGTGCATGGTTAATTCTACTAGTTCTCGTCTCTTAATAAAGGGGGTGCCATTTGGTACCCCTGTTGTCATCTTCCTATGTCTTTTAAACTCTGTTAGTCACAGTGAACTGTGGTGACTTTAAATGAGTCCACCACACCACCACAGCCCAGAAGCTCAACAAAGAGAGGTCTCATATAACATCCTGTTGAATAAAAAAAGAAAGGTCTCAGGGTCAGAATTTTTTTTTTTTTGTAGAATTTCCTTTTTTTGCACAAATCCAAAAATATTGTCATTTTCCACATCATGGTTTCCAGGCCCAAACCTGTATTTTTTATTTTTTATTTTTTTGGTACAAAGTTGCAGATGATGGGAAATAGGAAGTGGAAATCTGGATGGTCCAGTCAGGTAGCCATTCTATTTCCTAGTGATACCTGGTGATTCACTGCCCCTTCTCCTAGGGATCAGGGCCACCTTGTGAAGCAAGGTTGATGCCTGCACCTTTCCTTTCCCGTGATAATCCCTCTTTCTCACCCCCACAGGTCACGCATCTAGATACCTATTTTATTTTATTTTATTTTATGTTTAAAGTATTACAGATAGTAGTAGATATGTCTCCTTTTTTCCCCCCACCATTGACGCAACACTCCCCAGCCTTTGTTGTTGTTGTTGTTGGCAGCCCCTCCCCCCATTTAATTTATAGTGAATATGTCAGTATTGGTCAATATTAAATTCTCCCACAATCTCAATCACAACAGTGGAAAGCCTTTTTTTTTCCCTTTTTGTTTGAAGGAATTTTGGCATCATTTTGGGGTAGAAAGACTATATACCACCGAAATCATGTTAGTAAGGACCCATCTACTCACAAGATTGGCTTTACTCAGTGACCATCAGAAGGAGAGGTCAGACCTTAGAAAAAAACTTCTATGAAAGGCACGCATAGGTATATGAGTCTGCCCAAAGTGCTTGAGACAATTTGTCTGAATTTTTAAAAGAATAAATTAATTTTTAAATTGAGGTGACATTATATAAATTTCAGGAGGCTAGAATCTCTGTTACTATAATGGCATAAGATGGGGAAAATGTTCAATTACAGCACAAAATATGCTCTAAAATATTGATTTGAGGAAAAAAATTCTGCCTTAAGCAGAAATGAATTGGTGATATGGCATGATGCTTTTAAAAGGGGATTTTTTTTGTATTTTTTAAATCCCTAGCAATAATTCTTTCATGCTACATTTCCATTCCATTATTTATTTAATCATATTGTGAGGTGGGTGGGAAAATAAATTCCTACTGCTAAAACAGGACATTTACCTGAAAAAAAGAAATAATCAGGATAAAATATATAGGGTACTTTGTTGTAACAATTGTCAGCATTACTATTATACATATGTATGTTCTGGAATCAACTGGTTGTTATTTTAAAATCACTGTTCAAAGGCAGTGCAATATAATGTCCTTCCCAATATAGGAATGATATGTGTCAACCATAATTTTTGGTAATATACTCCAGATTAAATTCCGTTCAAAAGACTGATTTAGATATTTGAATTAAAGTGATCTGCTCTTGCTAAGGTTACTGTTGATCAAATGTATGGTTTTTTTTATCCTTTTTATGTCTCAGATGCCAGAATCAGTATATTTAAACTCTCAGGATCATTTGTCAAATACAATTTATAAGTGAACTGCAGCTGTGTCCTTCTTGTGAATGACTAAGAAAATTGAGCGTTTAAAGCATTTTGCTTTACTTGTCATGTATTTCATCTCACTTTCTACAATTTATTTCAAACACATTTTGCTGAAGTTTCTTAAGTCATAAATGTTGCTTTAATTTATATTTCCTGTGCGTTTCAATTTCAGTCATTAATAAAAACACACACACAAAACAGGTCTTTAGAATTATTGAAAATAACTTATTTATGCAGATATTCTTACTTCACTCACCACACTACATTACAAGAAACTATTTAATTAGGATATTTCCCTCTGATTTTATGAATCTTTATTTTAAACTTCTAAAATTTTCATTAAAAAATGTTAAAGATTAAAAAGAAAGTTGTATCATTTAATCCTGTTAAGTATAATTTTTACAGAACTGTCTTGTTAAAAATTTTTTTTGTCTTTAAAGAGTAGGTGATAGCTATTTTAATTAGATTTTAAAGTAGCCCTGGCCAGATTGCTCAGTGGTTAGAGCATTGGTCTGCAGCCAGAAGGTCAAGGGTTGGATTCCTGGTCAAGGGCATGTATCTTGATTTCAGGTTCTGATACCTGGCCCCAG